AGCAGGGCTTGGGCGGGCTCAGGCTTCAGTCCCCCCTCCTCGGGTCATGTAGTAATTTTTGTTGTCAGAAGGAGGTCGTGGTGCAATGAAATTTGAGAACCCCGATGTAGAGAAACAGATGCAAATAAATACATACGCAAATAAAGATGCTTGGTAATGAATTAACGAAGAGAATCTCTCTTTCCCTGTGTCTCGCTGAGGAAGTTCCAATTGGCTGGGTCATTCCAACTATTGGTTCATGGGGTCCAAGTCCCTGGTGCCATCAGCAGGACAGGGCCTGCAGTTCTGAAGGCTGCTCCCTCCAGTAGTTCAAGAAAGCACAAAGCCAAGATATTCAAAAGTAGCCAGCGAGTTTTGGATGCCCAACTTCACATCTGTCTGGGGCCTGATTTCCAGTAAGTATTGAGGAACCAGGCCTTGAAAGTCAGGCTAGTCGTCCTTTTCAATGTTGGCCTACATTTGGCAAAATTCAGAGCATAGTACAGATTGTATTTATATGGTTATGCTTTGGATAGATCTTTGAATCCATTTAATAGTTGGGAATTGGACAGTTATGATTCTATAAGTGTGTAGGGTGTTCTGTTATGCCTTTAATTTAAAGGCGCATTCCGTTAATTTTTGAATTGTTTTATTGATGTGTGGCATTCTAACTTTAGTAATGAGTGATATAAATTTTAAATAACTAAAGTCTTGTCTAAGTACTATCTTGATATTCTTTTTTAAAAAACTTTGCTGATAAAAGATTACTTTTATAAGCTGCATTTTCTTTTTATTATTACTATATTTAAATGAAACTCTACTAACAAGATTTAAAGTATCTATTTGCATTTGACTACACTGGACAGAAGGACTTGGGCTGAAGTACTCATCTAGTCTAGAGACACTTGGGCCAAATTCTGCTCTCACATGCACCAGTGAAGTCCCATTGAAGTCTATGGGATTGCATAGGTGGGAGGGAAGAATTTAGCCCAATGTCATGAGAAGAGAACATACTGAACCTTGAATGGCATGTCATATGCAAGTTTAATGGTAGGCCTCTTTCTTTTTAATGCAGCTGTCTTCTTTGGATTCAGCAAGGCAGAGGTGGTAGCATCTCTCTTGACCAAATTGCAACATAAGTTTTGGCTAAGACCCACATTTCCTAACAAAGATAGAGTACCATTACAAACTACCTGTTTCAAAGACCTATGGGCTGCTGAAACAACTTCTTCTCCAGCTAAAGTAGTAGATATAAAAAGGCTGAGTTTGACAGATCTCAAATCATTGTGGATGAAGGATTGGAGACTTGGCATAAAAGACAGACCAGGTTGGGAGAACCATGTAATGGTCTCTCTCTCAGCCTTCTCTGGTTCATCAGCCAGTGTTAACAACTGAACTGGAACATGAAGCTCACGTTATTGGGAAAAACTAAGCTAGAGAAGGTTCTAGAATGGATGAATAGGTGCATAGAACTTATTATATTCTCTCTGTTCCTTAAAAAGCATGTTTTTGTAAGTCTGTATCTATCCTTGGCCATTCAGGTGACATTGGAATATCTGCACAAGAATTTTCCATATCATCTTGATGTCTCGCTGTTCCAAAATGGAGGAACCAGAACTACTGGTGCAGAAAACATTTTTGAAAGAGAAAGTAGCTAAGGACATAGAGGTGTGCAGTGATTGGGATAAAATACAATATGATTTTACAAGAGATAGATCGTGCCAAATCAACCTGATCTCCTTCTTGGATAACTGATTTTTAGGGAAAGGAAATGCAGTAGATCTAATCTACCTGGATATCAGTATGGCATTTGATACAGTTCCAAATGGGAAATTATTAGTTAAATTGGAGAAGATAGGGATTCATATTAGAATTGAAAGGTGGATGAGGAATTAGTTAAAGGGAAGACTACAATGAGTCATACTGAAAGGTGAGCTGTCAGGCTGGAGGGAGGTTACTAGTGGCAGAGATCCTGAGGGTGGGGGGGATCACCTTCCTCTGCAGCATGAGGCATGGGGTCACTTGCAGGTTTCAACTAGTGTAAATGGTGAATTCTCTGTAACATGAAGTCTTTAAATCATGATTTGAAGACTTCAGTACCTTAGCCAGAGGTTATGGTCTATTACAGGAGTGGGTAAGTGAGGTTTTGTGGCCTGATATGTGCAGGAGGATAGACTAGATGATCATGATGGTCCCTTCCAGCCTTAGAGTCTAGGAGTCTATAATCTCTGTAAAAGGATTTTTTACAACTCAGTGGCACTTTTTACTCTTTGAAGTTTAGTCTCTTGGGAAAGAAGCTTAAAGTAGATAGCAAGTGGACAAATATCCTCCTCAGACACAAAGTATGTTTTTCTTTAAAGGGTTAAAGAGTAACTGTCTCAAAACTAATGAACCACGCATCCTTCTAGTTTTGACATGTTGGTAAATTAGTGCAGACAAAAAGAAAACTGAACTGGCTGCAGAGAGAGAAACCATTCTGAGTCAAAGACCTCTCTGGTGCAACTCAACTCACTTCAATGGGATCACATATTAATTTGGCCCCATGTCCTAAAACCACATAATTCAAGCTCTGACAAGCTACTGCAGTCTCAATGTGCAATGTGCTATTATGATATTGGAAAAAATGCAGTCTATAAAAGGATAACCTAAGATTGATTTAACACCAATCAAAGCCAAAATCAGTAAATAAAAATCTGAAAAAGAATTTTCCCTGACTTTACAAAAACTGGCTTGCTTGTGGGAAAATGACATGTAGTTGATGATTAAGTGAACAGTCACTGGTGACCCGGTACAGCAGAAGAATGGACTTTTCACATGGATTTTTTTTCTAAATTGAAATCTCCAGATGTGACCACCAGGAAAAATATACTGTGGTAGAAGCTAGTAAAGGATAATTCATTTTTTCAGACACATCCAGTTATCTGTAGCCAGTTCTGAATAGTATGGTGATTTTAGTGCTAACTTCAACTATCTGAGAAATCCACAAGCAAGTCTCCCAACTGGCAGCTGTACAGATAACTTCATGCATGCAGGTCAGCAGAAAGTTGATATGATGCTTTCTATGGCTCCTGTGCAGATCTATCTGTGAGAAGGGAGTCTGAGAACACAAAAGTGATAGGCTCCCTACACTCAGTTCACATGCTGTTAGCTGGACCTAGACCCAGTATAACCCACAGTAGCCCAGAGCTGCAATTGCAGGGAAAGTCCAGCTTAACACCAACCTGGAGTATGCTGTGTGGACAGAATCTTTGGGTAATTTAGCTGCTAAAATCTAAGACTGTCAGCATGTTCCAACTTCAATTACTCAAAGGCTTATATAACTTGGCCATTCACCCATTTATTGCAGATCTGAAGTTGGTCCAAATAGTTTACAGTGTACCACTTTTCCCGTTGTATACTAGTTTGAATTAAACACAAAATTAATAATAAAAATCCACCTAACACCCTCTGTACCATAGGTTACAACATAAGCATCATAGTCATATTACAACTGAAGCATATGCATATTTAAGAACGCAAAAAAACGCACAGTGTATGGACTGGTGAGACATCAAGTGTGATGACACCTGTCTCCATAATACATTCATCTACAGATACAACCTTTACATCTATTACAGAATTAGTCATAGCAATTATATCTGCACTTTAAGCCATATATTAGCAGGTAAATCTTTTTTGCCCCTTCAGATTATAAAATAAAGAAAGTAAAATCCGTGACCCTAATATTTCTCTAACTTTGTTCTAGCATTCAAATACTAGCACTTTTCTAGAAACATTGCTCAGAAAGTGATGTATTATTCCCATTTCAATGACGGGTAACTGAGGGATACAAAACAAGTATGTAAATTGCCTGAGATCCCCCAGGAAGTCTGTGGCAGAGCTGGGAATAGGACAAAACCCAGATATCTGGAGTCCCAGTCTAGTTATTGCCAGAAAAAGAATATCTAAGTATTGATGCAAAGAGTATATGATGCGGTACAGTATAAAGGACGAGGCTAGCTATATAAGAATTGCAGTCATTTATTTGTATATAGAAAAAAATGGAAAGTGTTAAACAATTACTCCATTAAATAGTCCAATAAATTCTATAGAAAGGATCAAACATAAAAATGAGACAATCCGTCAAAGATTAACCATAGACATTAGCAGTTTGTATTAATGTAGCACTTGCCAAATCAGGATCAAAACTCCATTGTGCTAGGCACCGCAAAAACACTTACTTTAAAGGACAATTTTAATCCTTGAAAATAAGTCCAGAAACAACTTAAATGTCTTCTAATGCAAATTTCTCATATATTAAGAGCACAGTAATCATAGATCAGGGTTTCTCAAACTTCAATGCACCGCGACCCCCTTCTGACAACAAAAATGATTACACGACCCCAGCAAGTCTAACACCAGCCCTGGTGACCCCATTAAAACAGGGTCATGACCCACTTTGCGGTCTTGCCACACAATTTGAGAACTGCTGCCGTAGATAAACTAGTGAAGGATAACGTGGTTCCAGAATTATTAAAATGTACAATTCAGGTATTATTGAATTCATTAGTATTATTTTCATCCTGACACTAACCTAGACTTGCTGCACCCATCTTTTCATAATCTTTGAGTTTGTTATTATAACTAAGCTTTAGCTTTGCTGTAACAAATATTTGGTTGGTTTTATTTATTTTTTTAAACACTGCTCAGGCAAAATGTAACCAGATACAGGGTGTGTGTGTGTTTTGTTTGTTTTACTGATAAACTCATTGTTGTGACAAAAGTGGATAAGTTGTCACAACATCTGACAAAGACGTTTTGCAAGCATATTACTGGGTGACGGCAATATGGTTAGAACCAATTTTAAGGATATCTGTGCATGGAATCACCTCTTCCAAGAAATCCCTTCTCCCTCTGCTATTGCATCAGCTCATTACTGGAAACAAATGTAGCTAGAACCCACCTAGGATGTTCACTTTTTGTCTCTCTATTTTTAACCAATCTATAAACCATTCAAAGGTCACTTCTTTTACAATGAGATTTTATTTCTCCTCCTGTAAAAGGAGGAAAGAAGAAAGGAGGATGAGAAATGGAAAACCTGCAAAGCAAGTATTCTAGAAAAGTATCTTCAGCTACAGTTCTTAACTTGGCATTTGCTGTAGATAACTAAGTAAAAGTTGCCATTTTTTAATTTCAGTATATTGCCTATAGTAAGTAAAGGAAAGTACAAGAGAATACTGCACATATTAAGCATAGGAGATCTATTTAAACTGATATCTGGGGGAGGAGGAGTTTAGTACCACCACTTGAACTTTGCCAGCCTCAAGCACCTACCCAGGAATAATTATAAAATTTTAATTAAAAATGTTCTGCTGACACATCACATGAGTTATGTTCTCTAAGGTTAATAAAAATAGCCTTTAGACTTGCAAAACTTGTTTCTCAAAAAATATCTCCTCAAAACAAGCAGCAGCAATACTGGGGGAGCATAAATTCTTTAATGGTTCACCCTCATTTACCTCCGACCCAGGAAACACAGGTGGAAGACAGCTAAGAACAGCAGCAGGCTTGACATAGGGAGAACACTTATTGGAGGGCTGTGGATAAAGAGAAGCTGAGAGCCAATAGCAGCCTCAATCTTGTCTCCTCTGCTATCTTTTCGACTCCCAACACCAGTACATTTCAGACTACATAAACTGATGCTGGAGGGCAAGTTGAATTCAAGTAAACTATACAGAAGATGAGCTCTTTCCAAATCAGTTTAAATTATTTATATGAGAGACTCAATTCATTATGAATGCTTGTGTATAACAAAGATAAATGTAAACACTCAATAATAATAATTACAATCCATTGTATGTCACTCAGATCACACAGATGGACAAGGGAGAGAGAATGTTTCACTGACATCAAGGGCATTTATCATGAAGCTTGTATACATTTAAATGACAAAAAGAATGAAAGGGGGGAAAAGTGTACCTGTGGAGACGAGGGACTAAAAGCCACGTTGATCACTGATTCCGTGTGTCCTGCCAATTTATGGGAAAAGGTGCTTGAACGCATCTCATATATGTAAGCCTAAAAGACAACAAGAGTTTAAATTTTCATTTTAAAGACTTCTACTGAACACTTTAAAGTATAGCTTGATAGAAATATGCATTCTGGCTAACAAGTTTTAGCTATAGTAAATACTTCACAATAGTCAGGCAGATATAAATTCTATAGTTCTGACATTTTATAATACCAAGAATGATTTAGCAAATGTTAGCTTTTAAAGTATCCTAATGGAAAAATGGTTTAGAAAAAGAGCAATTCTAACTTTTTTCTTGGGAGGGAAAATGGTATATGGATGTGTTTCAAGTAGACACTGAACTCGTGCCAAGTATGACCTTTCTTAAACAGGTTATTTTGCTATAAAGATGTTCTTCAAAATCTAAATATCTACTTTTTGCATAAAAAGTGTTAAAAAGCCCTACCATCTTAATGTCTATGATTAAAAAGCTGCTATTTGTTTATCAGCCACATTAAAACAATATTGTTTTCTCTCTGTTCATGGTTCTTAGCAGCTGTCGGCTGACACATTGTTCTCAATAACGTGGAACGCCTAAATAATTAGAGACACAGACACACTGATAAGGAATTGACCAAAAAAAAATGTTTCAAGAGAGAGTGTGTGGGGTAGGGAAATGTATGTCAGCCAAACATGAGACGGTAGATTTAGTAGAAAAAAATTACTGTTTGCAAGCTTTTAACTGATGAAATGGTACCAAAGCAGAAATGCACTAAGGGCTGAATCTAAAGCCGACTGACATCAAAGGGATTTGGATCAGGCTCTTAAACTTCTAACATTAGTTCTTTTGTTTTGCTTAATTGAGTTAAATGTATTGAAAATAAATCCTGTATTTTTGTATGCAGAACGATTTTAAGGAATCAGATGCCAATGCATGATTCTGCTCTACTGTACCATTCAGCTGGTAAGAAGAAAGGAAGTAGATGTGGCATACAGTTGTCTGGTATTTATATTCAAAGCACATAAAAAGACAATGTATAAGGAATACACAGAACATTGAGTAAAACTGATTTAGCATACAGCAAAGAAAATGTAGAAGAAAATACATGGTAATGGTATCTGAGAAAACACTGTATGAGTGAAAAAGCAATCTGAGTAGGCTTTATAGCAATTCCAAAAATTGAATGTTCCTTTTTCACTATATCTCTGCGGTTGTGCTGATGAACATGGAACTCATGAAAGCATTTCGGAGCCTAGGATAAGAAAGCCTTCCTGAATAGGCAGTCTTTGTTGTAACAATACTTTGTTTATTTTTTTAAAAGACACTATAATATCAAATGTAGGCTCTTTTAGGAAGGGACACAGGAAAATTCTGGTCCCTCAAAGCCAGAGTAAAAGGTCTTTGCATGTGGAAAATACAGAAATGCTGGTGAGAATAAAATCTTCACCCAAATTCAGGTATAGAGCCTGGAGCATCTATGCAACCTATTTTTCTGCATTCCCTTTACATGGGGCTGTGGTGCAGTATTTTCATGCAATAATCTCCCCTCAGCATCAGCCTACAACTGCCCTGCACTCCCATGTAGCTACAATGGAGCTTAGAGCTGCATCATCCAGGGGATCTAGAGTTCCTGTGAGCAGCTTCTCTATTTTCCAGTCCCCAGTGCAGCAGCAATGTGGCACTTATGCAAAATGTCACTTCTCTGGCTGAAAAATTTGTAAAAATCCCCAAACTTCTGGAGACAGGACACTAGATAGGGAGGGCTCTGAGTTCTTACAAATAATTCTTTCCCAAGTATCTGCCTGGTGGGTGTTGCCCACATGCTCAGTGTCTAACTGATCACCGTATTTGGGGTCAGAAAGGAATTTTCCCCCAGGTCAGATTGGCTGAGACCCGGGGGGGTGGGGGAGGAAGGGTTGCCTTCCTCTGCAGCATGGGGCACGGGTCACTTGCAGGTTTAAACTAGTGTAAATGGTGAATTCTCTGTAGCTTGAAGTCTTTAAACCATGATTTGAGGACTTCAGTAACTCAGCCAGAGGTTAGGTGGCTATTTCAGGAGTGGGTGAGGTTCTGTGGCCTGCAACGTTCAGGAGGACAGACTAGATGATCAATGGTCCCTTCTGACCTGAAAGTCTATGAGTCCCTACCATAAATATAGAAGCATTAACATTGTCCAATAATGTATTGATAACTATTGGCTGTTAATCCTATACATTAGCTTTCTTTGTATTAATAAACATCTTTACAAGAATAGACTACTCATTCCACTGTACAGCATATAAATCACCTTTCACAAGATTTGAGCTAAGAAGGAGCATAGTTCTCCTTTTAAACTACATGAATGTATTAGAGAGAGAGCTGGCAGTGATGCACATGGGTAGTGCTAGGCAACCTTAACTATCATAAATCCCTGTCTTGAGTGGTTTATAACTTTGCCCAACTGTAGCCATTAGAGATGAAATTTTCCAGGCCAGGCTCCTGCCTCAGGTTGGAATTTATTTATTTATTTAGGAAAGTTTCAGCTTGAACACCCCAATTAGTTGACACTTGATAATTTCAGGCTTAATCGCACCATACCTCAATCACCCTCTGTAAAAGGGAAATAATATTATCACCTCATTAAATTCATTAATGTTTGAGAAGCACTCAGATACTACAGTGATGAATGCCATAGGAAAGCCCCTGGGGAAGTGATATATTCTGTAGTCACCACATGGTTTGGATGGTTTGCAGAAAATTAACACACGGGGCCACTAATATATGCTCATTAAAGACGGTCTCATAGTATATATGCACAGGAGGGTTGAATTAAGGGCACAAAGTCCATGAGTAATCCCATTTGACTCAATGGGACTATTTACAGAACAAGGTGCTACTGAGCATGAGTGAGGGTGGTGGAATTTGACTTACAGTAAGTTATGGCAGAATTCATTTTTTAGAATTTTGACTGATGTCAATGTTTACTTTTAAGCAATTTTTAGTTTTATTGTTTTGATTTTTCACAGTTGTGGGAAATTATGGGGGTAAACCATTGTTTAATGACAGATTCAACAACTTTATAAACCATTAAACACAAATTGTCAACATCACATGTCAAAATATATAAAGTAAATATCCTTAAATTAACAAATCAGACCTGTTTTTACTATTCATTCACTAGTCTATTTGTAACAAGATTAACTCAAAAGTCTAAATCACTGGATTTTGACTCAAGTTCTCCAGCAGCATTTTTCTTTCTTTGCCGATCTGTAAATTTCAATTGTTATCAATGGAAATATGTCAATTTGTATGTATGGTAAAACTGACATTTACCGACACTTACAGATAAAATCTACAGTAGAACCTCAGAGTTATGAGCACCAGAGTTTCGAACTGACCAGTCAACCACACCCCTCATTTGGAACCTGAAGTACACAATGAGGCAGGAGCAGAGACCAAAAAACAAAAAAAAACCCAACAACAACAAAAAAGCAGCAGCAAATACAGTACAGTACTGTGTTAAACATAAACTACTAAAAAAAACAAAGGAAAAGCAGCATTTTTCTTCTTCACAGTAATGTTTCAAAGTTTATTAAGTCAATGTTCAGTAGTAAACTTTTGAAAGAACAACCATAACATTTTGTTCAGAGTTACGAACAACTTCCATTTTCGAGGTGTTCGTAACTCTGAGGTTCTACTGTAATTCTTTCAAGCCGAGTTTTCACAAATTCATTGGACTGGGACTATCCAAAGCTTCCATAAGTAACAAAGATCAGGTTTTTCGGAGAACATCTTCAGTATGAAGCTACATTTTATGTTGTGGAAGTTGTCATCTTAAGATGTCTTTGCTCCCCATACTTTCTGTGGTGTGCAGATACTCCTTTCCTTCATAAATAACAGGTGTCCAGAGTAAAACAGATCATACAGACTTTTCAGTTTTAAAATCCTTAATTTACCAAAACCAGAAATTTCACAAAAGGATCCTGCAATCGAACTATTAAATGCATTTATTTTCACATTTATCTTGTGGTTTCAAAAGCACAAGTTGAAAATGTGGCCACTGATGATATTTAATGGCCAACCTTCATTTATGTCCTAATTGGTGTATATTTTAATATCTGTAGCTAATCATCAACCTGGAAGGAAAATTATATATTTTGGCAGTCAGAAAGTTGTACATAATTATAACTCTTTTCCTGTATAGTGCAAAAGTGAAGTAAAGATTTGTTTTAAATCTTAAAACCAGAACTGTTTTATGTTAAAACACCTGTCAATTTCATCCTGAGGATTGGAGGGGAGGGGTAGGGACAAAGTTAGTATTAAAGTAACACTGGCAGGTTTATTTTACTTCTAAATATTCTAGAAATAAATAAATTAGTTGGTAGTTGACCTCCACAAATCCTGTGGACTAGTGCTAACCAGTAAATGGATAGCCCTTTCAACTATACAAATACATTACTTTGACACGCAGTGCCTTTCATATAGTTGAATTCAAGAAAGATATATGTTGTTTGAGACTTTTCTGGGCTAGATTCTGTGCTACACCTTGTTAACCTCACTGTTTAAAATGTTTGCACAGGGTAAACCAGTGTAGAACTTGGTCTCTTGTTTATGCAGAACTGAAAGTATAATATATATTTAGTAGGGCTGTCAAGCAATTAAAAGCTTAATTGTGATTAATAGCAATTAATCGCACTGTTAAACAATAATAGAATAGCATTTACTTAAATATATTTGGATGTTTTCTACATTTTCAAATATATTGATTTCAATTACAACACAGAATACAAAGTGTACAGTGCTCACTTTATATTTATTTTTGATTACAAATATTTGCATTGTAAAAAAACAAAATAAATAGTATTTTTCAATTCACCTAATACAAGTACTGTTGTGCAATCTCTTTATCATGAAAGTTGATCTTACAAATGTAGAATTATGTACAAAGAAACTGCATTCAAAAATAAAACAATGTAAAATTTTAGAGCCTGCAAGTCCACTCAGTCCTACTTCAGCCAATCACCCAGACAAACAAGTTTGGTTACAATTTGCAGGAGATAATGCAGCCCACTTCTTGTTTACAATGTC